CTAATGGATGAGTATTTATTTTCAATTTAAAAGGAAAAAATAAATAAAAAGAAGAAAAAATATAAAGTTTCCTTTCCCTCTCGTTTGCTTTGCCTTCCCGAGAGAGAGAGATAAGATTTGCATCTTAAAGAGGTTTCTTCCTTCCTTCCATTGTCTCTCTCTCGCCACCTTCAATTCAATGCTCCGATTCCGATTCTCCTCTTCCTCTTGATTTGTCTTCTTCTCTTTGCTGCGAGAGATAGGAAACAAAGGGCAAGCAAGAGAATCGAGGTAACGTTCTTCCAGAAGTTTCCCCTTTTTCATGGACACAGCTTTCGCAACGCCGCCGCCGGAAACCGCCGCGGAAACCGGTGGTGCGGTTATGGGCGATAGTGGATTTACGGTGGACCCTTTTCTGGTCGAAGCTCTGCAGAATCCTCGGCATCGTCTGACGAGTAAGCACCGTTGTTTCTGTTCTCTGATTCATGTCGGAAACCCTAATGTCCTGAAATTAGAGCCGAATTTTGTCACGAGTGTATGAAAGTTTGAATTTTTGCTCAGTAGTTTAGGTGAATTTAGCTTAACTTGTGCGCTTACGGATTTCGGGTAACTGCAATTTTGGGGGATTTTCGAAATGTGGCTACTTCTCTGAATTGATGGTTGGGTTTCAGCTTCTTAGATTGTTATGGAGGTGCCCATTTTCTTTGGACTGTAAAATCACGGCTAATGTTATCAAAGCTGTAAACTTTATGTATGATCTATGGTAGATGTCAACTTTCATAATAAGGAAAGTGATTCATAAATTAGGTTATTGCATCAGGAGTGTTACTTCATATACTGATTCAAGATCTTGAACTTTGATACTTGTGTGGTTCCATTTCATGAAATACTCTCTCTCTCATTTAATTGTTTTTACTACTGTATCTAAGCCTTTTTTTTTGTTTTTCTTGTAATGTCAGTTTTGAGGATGGAACTTGATGTTCAAAGGTTCTTGCAGAACCCTGAACAGCAGCAGTTCGAGTTCCAGCATTTTCCTACTTCGTATCTTCGTCTTGCAGCTCATCGTGTTGCTAACCATTATGGGCTAGCTACAGCGGTTCAAGAGAGTGGTGCGGATGGCAATGAGAACATAATCCTTGTGACAAAAACAACCGAGAGCAGATTTCCTGCTGTTCGGTTGTCTGAAATCCCGGTGGCTAAACAATCAGAAAGTGGTAAATTTGAGCACATGAAAGTTTCCATCAAGACTCGACCTTCTAAAGGATCTGGATATGACGCTGGTGAGTTGGAAAAGAAACGTGGTCCTCTTAGGAGTGTCGAAGAGAGGAAAGAAGATTATGACAAGGCTCGAGCGCGCATATTTAATGGTATCACTGGACTTAATAGTGATGACTCTTCATCTGAAACTCAGGTTTATGGGAGGAATACAAGTCTTAGCAGAGATGACAATCAAGTATCTCAGAATGCTTACATTGAGGTAGAGAAGAGCATAAGCCTCAGGGAAAGTGGTCCAACATCTCGTGTTGCAATTCTGAGAGACAAAGAGAAAGATCGTTATGACCCTGATTATGACCGCAGTTACGAAAGGTATGTAAAGCATCTGTTGGTTTGCTGGCAAACCCATTACTGTACTAGTGAAGAGCAACTGAGCTTCATGTGTGATGGTTGATAAACTTTGTGTGTGAATGCAGATACATTAGGAGCCTTCCGGTCAATCAGAATTTCCATCTACCAGCCTTCAACATTCAGAAAATGCAGCCACCATACTATGAAATGGGATTCACCGGATATAATCAAATCCCAAATACTCCTGCTCCTCTTAACTTTGGGCCGCCCGCAAGCTCCATACTGAGTCCTTATGGCACAGCAGTTTTACACCAGCCTTCAAGGGATGCAATGTATATGCAGTGGCCTAATGCAGCTATGATGTATGCTCATTCGTATGAGCAGTTCAGAAATGCTTCTCTTCAGGTATCTTTTTTTTTCTCCGCTTAACCCTCTTTGAAATTGCGGTCATTGAATGAAAACTTGCATTTCCAACTGAAAGAACCATGGGCATATTAAGAATCTATATCCCAAATACTTAGTGTTTATTGTTTACCTATGCGTAGCTTGCTTGAAAGAGCAATTGAAGTTGCTTGGTTTGGTACCTTGTTTCCAATGATTCATATTTAGTGGTCTGAAAGCAGCTGTAACTTGTTTCTCCAGGCACAATTCTCTCAACAACCCTTGAGCTTCGACTACACGCAGAACCGTTAGGTACGTGTCGTTAGGCATTAATCCCTGTGTCAATTGTTATCTCTGTTTACCAGCTTTTCTAAAACCTAGGATTGTTTGTAATGGAAATTTTTGAGTTGTAATGTCAGAAGAAAGATACTCTTTTCTTCCTCCTATGATTATCAATGAACTACTTTTGTTGTAAGTCGAATCTGTCATTGAAACTATGTGGAACTGAATGTTACATGTCCATGGTGATTGCTACAAGGACCGTCTTTTAGGGGTTTCATTGCGCGAGATACGAATCAGTCTCAAAAGTCTATATATCATATGTTTTGTGTACGTTGATTCTTCCGAATTCGTGAGGCGCAACATAATTTATATAATTTTAATAAACAAAATGTTACAGCTACGGTACAACACTGCCTCAAGCTGTTTCTAGGCAAGAGGAGAATGGCCGAACTTCTTGTTTTACGATTATACACCAATTTGGCCGCGAAGGAACATCACAACTGATTTCAATGGCGTCCTGGAAAACAATAACATCAATGGTTGTGAGAAAAGTTGCATGAATACTAGAATCGAAAATAGATGAGAGATCAAAAGGGAAAGTATCCATAAGCTCATTTGCTTAATGAAATGTTTGGTTTCCGGGTTTTAGAAAAGTTAGCATAGAATCCTATCGAAGTGAGTCACTTCTAACTACAAATATACTGATTATTTAATAGAGATGCTTACCACAGAGAAAATGATGGTCTTTGGCTTTTATTATCTGGTTGTGCAACCTCGTCGTCTCTTTGTGGATCTGTGTGGACAAGTCTTTGGAATTTTTCAGACAGTGCTTTGTAAGATCGAATATCTGTTGGTTCGATCTGACTAATCGCGGCTTTTAAATGTCGCATGCCTATTTCTTCTGCTTCAAGACTCTCCTGATAGATAACAGAATGTGAGACACTGCAATCATTGCAAGGCTTTCCGCAGAAAATAAGGACTGATAAGAAAAACACCTAACCTCGAGTGCGGCAATAGCTGCTTCTCTGCATATCAATGATATGTCAGCTCCTGTGTAGCCTTTGGTAATAGAAGCGAGCTCTTTTAGACAAATATCAGAGCCGCATGGGATTTTACGCAAATGGATTTTGAGTATGGCTTCACGATCAGCTTCATTAGGAGGTCCAACATATAGCAAGCGGTCAAAGCGTCCTGAAACATTAACATATTCAAATTTATCAGATGGACCTTCATATTTGTCTACGAAAATCGAAAGAATCAATGAGAGAAGCAAATTTACCAGGTCTTAGAAGGGCAGAATCGATCTTGTCTGGCCGATTTGTAGCAGCAATAACAGTAACACCAACTCTTTGATGCAAACCTGAGATCGACAGTTAAGCAATCAGTCTTTAGTTAAACAATTTGCCCTTTCCCAAAAAGTCTGATTGCCATTTTCCTAAAATTTCAGAACTGCATCAAGATATCAATTGAAGGGTAGTTGTTACTAACCATCGAGCTCCACAAGTAATTGACTCATAACTCTGTCCGAAACTGAAACCCCATCATTTTCTTTCCCCCTAATGGAGGCAAGACTATCTATCTCGTCGAAAAAGATAATCGAGGGGGCATTTGCTCTTGCCTTTGCAAAAAGGGACCTCACAGCCTTCTCAGATTCACCAACCCATTTGCTGAATAGTTCTGGACCTTTGACTGCAAGGAAATTCAGCCTAGCTTCAGAAGCTACTGCACGTGCCATAAGGGTCTTGCTACATCCAGGAGGACCAAACATCAGTATCCCACTTGGTGGCCTTGTCCCTATTCTCTCGAATGCGTCCTGATGTTTTTGAGGCCATTCTACTGCTTCCATTAGCTGATTTTTCACCTCTTTTTGGCCACCAACATCTTCCCAGTTAACTTTAGGAACCTCTAATATCACCTGAGAGTTGCAGATCAACCAGAAATTAGACAGAGATAGAGCAAAACTCTGGCCTAGCATAGAAACATCTCATATTACAAAGCTCTAGGTAAACAGACATATGAAGCTTCGAAAAAACTACCGAGACGCTGGACCAACCACAGCTATGATCATCAGAACGATTCCAAACTGAAATTTTTAATTTTCCTAATCAAATCAGAGAATATATGAGGAATTAACAAAAGTAGATAGTCAATCGTCTGAAGCTGAATTTTCACCCTAACAGTATAATGCCCTTGGTGTTGTCATTCACGCAGTTTGATATATGACATGAAAAAACAGAAGAGATGATCAACTTAAGTAGATCTAAAAACAAAAGAAACTGGGTCAAACCGAGGGAATCAATAATACGAGGAGTTGGGAATAGCTCATCATAAAGTCACCTTAATTTCCTAGGAGGATAATGGAAAAAAGGTAATACCTCTCGCATGGCACTAGGTCTGATTTTGATCTTAGCTTTTTCAAAATCTTCAAATCCTACACTTAAGGTATGTTCTTCTTTGCTAAACATCTGTACAGAACCAGAGCTGCCACTGTTTTTAATATCATCTGCGGCTAAGGAGACTGTCCCATTGTCAAATGAATGCTGAGCCCTTGAAGTCGAGGGTGAAACTGTGATACATGATGATGCAGAATCCGAACTATCAGATGAGGACTCAGAACCTCTGCACTCACAAGCAGCAAGAGGTGTTTCTTCAAGAGATGAATTGCTAGAGGAACTTTTCTGATTAAGATGCTGCCTTAAACAGACAAAGGCTGCCTCACAGCACAGTGCAGCTAGATCTGCACCTACAAAACCATGTGTTGCCATAGCAAGCTGTTCAAGCTGGGTGTCTGAAAGTGAATGCTGCATCCCACTGAGAATTGTGCGAAGTATATCAGACCGTTGTGCAGAAGATGGTACACCTATATCATTAACCAAATATTTGAACACGTATTAGGGAGTAAGAATCTGAATCATATTAAGGATGTCTATTCTCCACAAGGTTTTCGTATTACCAATTTCAATTTCCCTGTCAAGTCTTCCTGGTCGTCTAAGGGCAGGCTCAATGCTATCGGGCCTATTGGTTGCAGCAATTACAACAACGCCATCACTTCTACTTATTCCATCCATTAAATTGAGTAATGTAGCTACCATCCTCTGAGACAATTCCTCGCCTCCTTCTTTTCGTGCAGGAGCAATGGCATCCAAGTCATCAATGAACACCTTTAAAAGAAACAATATTATTCACATCACAAGCAACTAAGTTGTTAAGATAAGATATCGATTGTTGGGGTAACAAGTGAATATCAATAGATCTCAAAAATACAGTCAAAACTCAGGTATATAATAAAGAGGAGAATCCAAAACTCTTACCACAGCAGGTGCAGCATTGCTAGCAGATCTGAATACCTCATCTAGAGCTTTCTCACTTTCGCCCAAATACTGGCTTATAATCTCAGGTCCATTCACAGAGAAAAAGTTGACACCAGCATCACGGGCAAAGGATCGAGCCAAAGATGTCTTCCCTGTGCCTGGAGGTCCGTGAATAAGCACTCCCTTTGTAGGTCGCAAACCAAGACTAAAATGATCATGCCAGTA